TTTAATTTAATAGAGAAATTCGATTTTAAATACATAGTATTTTAAAATATTCAAATAATGTATTTAAAAATACATGTATTTAAAATTTATTTTTTAAAATTTAATCCAAACAATGTATTTTAAATACATGTATTTCAATTACACTCATCAAATTCAAATTTAAATTCCCAAACACAACCTGAATGGATTTAGAGATAAATCAAAAGATTTTGGGAGTTTTTGGGAGAGTGGCTGGCGGCAAAGCAAAAGGAAGCAAGAAAAATTGACGGGTAGGGTTCGTCTGACCCAGCCCCTTTTTATTTTTTAGCCCATTGGTCAAAACGACGTCGTTTTGCCATTTTTGTTCTCAGCCCTTCAAGTTTCCAGCCTTTATAAAAAATAGTCTATTACCTTCTAATTTTATCATTTAGCCCCAATTAAAATTGGGTTATGACAAATAATATAGTTGATTATAGGTTAATAACCTAACCTAGATATAAAGCAAACTCTTGCATCACACTAGCATGTAAAAAGCACATGCATAAAGGTTTTATCAACCCCATCACATGACAAAGAAACATTTAATGAAGGTAACAAAATCAACTATATACTTTAAGACAAGGTTTTGAAAATCAAACCGGATCAATCTATCGGACCGATTGAACCAATACCCGATAGTCTAAACGGTTCAAGTACACCCTTCAAACCATTTAAACAGTTAAACCGTTTGAAACTGCTCAAACAGTTTGACCGAACGATTCAATACTTCGGCATAAAATCTTGAGTAATTTGTTTTCGAGACGAGATTTGAACTTGCAACCTTGAAGCTTTTATTTTGATCCTTTGCCACCTGGACAATGCAATCCTTTGGTCAATGGTTGCTTGGACTTTTATTTAACCCATATAAATCCCAAAGATTTTAACCATATTGCTAATGACAAGCATGAGATTCGAACACTCATTCTCCATGTTGTGGAACAAAGATTTTTTCACTTGTACACAACGTTCTTTTTTCAATTTGATGCTTTATAATATACTTATTCTACTTTTAAAGCACAATTAAATTAAAGTTTGTTATTTTGAATCCCTCTTATAGAAAATCAGCAACCTACCAGTGCAACCCACTTGAACCGTGTGAAATCTTTTGCAAAATCATATATTTATAGTATTTGATCAACCAGGTAATTTTATAAGTTAAATCGTTCAAACCATGAACCGAAGGTCAAAATGATTTGACCTCCGGTTCGGATTTGAAAATATTGCTTTAAGATGGTAAGATTCACTACATAAAAAGAAAAGGATAACAAAGTCTTAAACACGAGCCCACCATCGACCAAATATGTTATTGACAGCATCCTCTCTAATAGAGAGGCCAACAAGTCCCATTAGGTTCTTGATATGCCTACAATGAAAATATTACAGTGACATTATAAAAGACGCAACTTTGGATAAAACCTTAACTAAATTGCAAAAGCATAGGAGCTTCACTGGACTAGTTACTTCGCGCGACCAAGTCTAATTCTAACTTACTAAAAATAGCAAAGAATTAGAAGCTTAAAAGAAGAAAAACGTTCCACTTTCAATAAGCCTTATTATGCTCCTATTGCCTTTAACTTCTTTATTACCAGTAGCCACAATGGAAAAACAAAGTCTTGGTTAAGAGTTTCAACGACTGCATGAGCTTGAAAAGCCAAATTATCAACATCCATTCTAATCTTATCCTTAATGAGATCAAGACTGTACTGTTAAACCAATGAACCAATCTTTCTACATCCACAAAATCCCATGTTAGAACTTCCAATAATCAAGCTTTGGCATTTTAAATACCTTTGGCTCTTGGCATTTCATATAAGACTATAAAGGTGTTAAACCAATAAACCAATCTTTCTACATCCACAAGAATCCCATGTTAGAACTTTCAATAATCAAGCTTTGGCATTTTAAATTCCTTTGGCTTTTGGTATATCATCTAACACTATAAAGGCATTTTTACAGAATTTTTTTTTCCAAAATTCTTACCCAAAATTGAAGCAAAAGAAATTCATGCCAATCAAGAACCCAAATCGAGAATCACAAATTCTTTGAAATAAATACTTAGAAAAGCAAGAAATCAAATCATGAATCACAGAACGCACTAGTTTAGATGAAAATTCAATACCCAAATGAAAATTTACGCTTACATGCTCAAAATCAAGGAAAATTTGGAGCACGAATTATGTGGACAAAGTCACAGACAAATAGTGACATTTATACAGTGAGGTTCTTAAAATCCCTAACAATGGAGTTGATGATCTACTGCTCTGCAACTTGGTTTAGAGGGATAAGTTTGACAGTACTGTTCTGTAATTACAGCGGTAAATATTTTTAATTTCTTAATTTCTTAAAAATATATAAAATATATTTAATATATTATTTATTTATTTTAATAAATATTTTATACATTTTTAAAATAATGAAAAAATATAAAAACTAAAACTAAAAGGCTGAAAAACGCAAAAGAGTTGACAACCAAAACCCGAGTGAAATCTGAAAACTGGCGTAAGATCCGAAAACTTGGGTGTCCATGTTTTCGAGTAGTGGAAAACAACTTCCGTAAAATTCATCTGAAAGTTGATTTTCAGAAAATGGCAATAGTATTTTCTGCTGATCTAACCAATTTTCCAAATAACTACCAAACACAAGAAGACGCGGAAAATAATTTCTTGAAATCATTTTTTCACAAATCAAACGGACTCAAAATAACAAAACATTTAGGTTTGTTTGGAACTTGAATTAAAATTTAATGAGTGTAATTAAAATATATGTATTTTAAAATACATGTAATAAAATACATACAATTTAAATATATGTATTTTAGATACTTATTAAAATATGCAATTTGAATAAATTAAATTACTATGAATTTAAAATTAAATTGATGTTAATCCCTCCCGTTGAGCATTTTCACAAACATTTTTTATATGGTATTTGTTATTCATGCCAGTACTCTTATTTTTCTTCCTCTAATTGAAATACCATGTCAAAATTTAACATAAAATTGCTTTAGTTATCACGTATTAATATTATAACATATCTCCCCTAGATACCCTTAGTTCTAGAGGAGTCCCGAAATAAAAGATATAGTAAAAAAATATAGTGAAAATAGAAACACCTTTAATATAAATTGTTTCCTTAAAAAAAAACCTGCATTCAAATCAAATTAATATTTTATAAAAAAAGTAAATACCTGTAAAGAAAATTTATTTTAATAAAAATATCAATATATATCTTAAGAAAATATCAAAATACTCAAAGTCATAAAATAAGTTATGCTAAGCTCATTTATAATTAATTTAAATATTATATACATAAAAGTAATTTACATATGAGGCAAATTATTCTCCAAAGCTTTTCAAAATAACAAAAGTTGAGTTATTATTTTGGTAGTACATTGATTTGAGCATAAATGACCTCTACTAAAGCTCCTAAACTGATGACCACTACTCCAATCTACAAATCTAAAATGAGGAGAATATCATGAGCTAAAAGCCTAGTAAATATTAAGTTTAAATTACAAATTTAGGTCCTAAAACCCTAAACCGATACACATGAAGAGCATAATAAACAATTAGATCAAGTCACATAATATTATAATTTTCAATAATTAAATAATAATTTAATATCTCAAATTAACTCACATATTATAAAAAAATACCAAGGAATAACCAATAACATTTAACTCAAATTCAAGTCATAAAATGGTATCCTCATAAATGTAATATCATAGGCAAAATGGAAATAATTTTTGTACAACCTTTTTGTACAACTTGATATGTCATTAAAATAATTGATTCTTTTAATTTATATAGGACCCGTGATATTGAATGGATCCACTCATTTAATTATATGTGAAAATTGTATAAAAAGATGGTATAAAAAGGTTGTCCCCTATAACACCACTCCAGGCAAAATGCATAAACAAAATCACACAATGCTAAGGAGTTCACGTGCCAGTAACAATTGTACCAGAACTAATCACGACATTTACTCTACTGCACAGAAGTCCATTGAATACCCCAGAGGGTCAATTGAATAACCCAACCCTTAAACTTAGGTCCACTTAGTCCATAATCACAAACACATATAAATGTCAAATAATTTCAAAACATTTTCAAAATAATATACAAATATTATTTCATTTAGTATCTCACTTAATTAATTGCATATCTAACATAATCCACTTCAAATATCTCATGTCGAATGGTAGATTTTACTAAAATTAAAATTAAAATTGATTCCTAAGTTTAACAGTGCAATCAACACATAATTAATCAATTAAAACCCAAATGCACAAGTCACAAGCAACACCTCCTGTAAAATTTCCAAAAATCTTATCATAAATGTATAGGAAAACATCAAAATTATAATAGCAAGTAATTAACTAACAAAAATTCACACAGAATTTCAACATAAAACAAAATCCAATTCAAGCTCTACACCTTACAGGTACCCCAAAATCCCAAATTTTGCTAAACAAAAATTCTAATCTCCAAAAATCTCTTAAACAAAAGAGTTACAGTCATATTTCACCACTTATGCTAATTTTTTTTTTTTTTGTATATTATAACAAAATCCATAATTTCCCCAAAACTCAAACCCAAATCTATAACTAAACTTATATTTACTTAAAAATCAGAGCACAAAATTTTTTTAAAAAAGTAAATATTGAAAGGGATTCCAAGTGAAGAGTGCATCCTTACACCTCAATCTTTGCTAGAAAAAGGAGAAAACGCAAGGTAACCGACTGAAACAAAAAAGACGCAGGTAAAATGGGAGGTTCTGGAGACCTCTTTGTAAGTCCAGCCGAATGGTTCTTGGTTGGTATAATGCCATTTGGCAAAAAAATTGGAATAATTGATTTAAGGCCCTTCAACTCCTACTAAATTCTACTTAAAACCCCCAAACTTTAAATCTGCTCAATTTAATCCTTAAAACTATAAAATAAAATATTCTAATTTTTAATCTATTCCCTAAAGTATATGAAGTGTTACAAATATCATGAAAAAGACTACCAGTTCTTTGTCCTCTCTGCATTCCCATCCTCTCCGGCAAAACCCACTTCCAAAATGCCAAAAAATTTGCCGCCAAAAACTTTGCCTCCAAACAAACAGAGGAACAAAAAATGAGGGGAGAACAAAGTCTGAAAATAGAATCGACAATTTTGAATGTGATCATTGGAGCTTTATCGTAGAGAAGCCATTTTATCACCAGAAAAAAGATGTAGAGAATTAGCAGAAAATTTGAAATCCATTGTCCGATTCATAGGTTGAGAGGGTATTTAAAATCCATACTTCTTAGGTTTTGAAATACATGAGTTAAAATACAAGTGTATTTAAATTAAAATTCAAATACATTCATATTTTGTAAAAACAAATAATAAATTTGATTTTATAACTCCAAATTCAAATACACTTAGTTAAACTCAACTTCCTAAACAAACCATTAAAATAATTCTTATTTATCTTTTAATTACAATGTAAATCTTTTTTTTTTTTCTTGAACACAAGACGTAAATCTTAATTAAGGTGACAAGTTCGAGGAATAGTTTAAAGTCTTTCGAGAAATTTGCAACGCATTTACAAGATATTTTTACTTCTCTGAAGCCACTCCTCAATTGAGAATACCTCTATTTATAGAGAAATAAAAGAGGAATCTTGGGAGGCATATTCCTAATATAATTTAATTGGGGCCCACAATTTTGTCACGAGTCGCAATTATAACTTTAATCTAAGTAAAATTCATGTCATTATTTTAGAACCAGGTATCTTAATTTATTTTTATTTTAATAAGACATGTCGCCGTGTAATTTTTTGACCTATCATAAGAATACCAGAAACTATAGTTCTTTATATGACGGTGTTTAAATGACAACCCAAATCAAAGGAATGAAGAGCTCAGACATAATAACAGTGAGTGGTATTCAAAGATGAAGCTTGACGAATAGAATACACGAGCTAGAACATCTACGAATGTGCACGCCTTCTTCAATGCAAATGCACCTTCTATGTATAAAACAATCTTAAATATCAAGAACTTTAAACCATGAATGCGTGGTGCAAGGTAAGACAACAAATGTGAATTTTCATTTTCCCCAAACTTAATTGATGCGAATCATGCAATACATGAATGCAGTAACACATTGACAAATACCAGACTCGAAAAAAATAAAATATATCAACAGGGTACCTTGTGAACTGCCAATGGCATATATTCTACCTTCAAAATTTTCCTGTGACATTAATTACCCAAATAGAGGTTTTAGACAAACTCTAGATATTAACTTGATCAGCTAACATGTAAACAAGAAATGTTTAATGCAACATGAAGCAGTTAGAAGGAAACAAAATGTAATGCTAACTCAAGCCATCATCAAACTCAACTCTGCTCTAGAGTAAAACCAGCGAAAGAACATCAGCAAAACAAACACAGTAACACCACAAACAGCAAGAATCACAGTAAACAATCAACATCCAATTCGAAAGCACCAATTCACATGAGAATGGAAATACCCCAGTTATAGTATCAAGGTTCAAGGAGAAAATATGTAAGTGAAATACCCAGGAGCTGAACTTCATTGAAAATTGAAATTAAATACTGGAATTCTACTGATTTCCCAGATGAGTACTCAAATTACAAATCGAGGAAGGTAAACTCACTGGCAAATATAAACAATAACAGAACAACACATCAATAAAAGGCAATCCTGGAGAAGGAAAACTCAATGAAAAGATTCAAGCTTAGGTCTAGAAACTCAAAGTGAAAAGATTGAATTTAAATTACATTGGCATAGGCAAGCAACAATGAACAGAAGGGGGAGAGCTATTGTGAGCAGACAGATAATGAGCAGAAGTCTCAACAGTGGCTTCATCAGTGTTGGCAAGCGGAGAGACACTACAAATTCATTCTGAAATTGATGAAATTCCTGGGAAAAAGCTTGCATTTGAAATACACGGTTTTTAAACTTTGAAATACATGGAATTAAATACATGTATTTTACTCAAATTCAATTTACTCCCTGTTTAAAGTACTAGTTGAATGACCCCATGTTGCAGGGTGTGGTGTTGGGCCCAATTCTTTCAAGTTTGCTGCAAACTAATGTATCTGAATAACAAATTTTAATAATATAGGAGACTCCAGGCACAAAGATTCATTAACATTAACATAACCGAGCTTAAGCATGCAAGGATTTCCCTTTTTTATTCCTATTTCACATTGTAACTAGGAACATTAATAAAAAAAAAAAAAAAACACATTTAAATTCAATAAACTGTATAATACAGGACCATGAAGCATTTGACAGACCTTTCAAATTTTTATCTGTAATTAGAACTTGCCTAATTCTCTTTTTATTTTGAGGTTAGCAACACCAATTAACCATGTCAATTTAGTAAGGCATCATAATCACAAACATAAAAACAACATAAATGGCATAAAATTGAAACAATATGACACCAAGCTGCATAGTTTTTTAAGAACAAATAGGCTAAAATTAAACCAAGCCAGAACAGACTGCATATACCTTGAGAGAACAGTAACTGAGTACATAATATATGGTCTGGTGGCTGAGAGATAGAGCAGACAACCTATCATGCTTCTGAACAAACCAGAATCAAACTTGGCAGCAGCATCTTCACTAATGAATTTCTGACCAGGAACAGATGGAGTGCTAACATCTTTGCAATTTGACATGGCAGATTTGTTTAAAAGTTACTGAGCATACTTCTTTTGGCAAATGAATACACCTTGTTCAGGTTAATGAACTTCCATTCCTAAGGAATATGACATTTTTCCTAGATCACTCATCTCAAAAACCTTCATCATGTCAGCTTTGAAGTCATTCACCAGGGATTCACGGCTTCCAGTTACCAATAGATCACCCACATAAATAGAAACAATTAGCATCTGTCACCATGCCTTTCACATACAAAGTGGGTTTGTTGATGCATTTTTCAAACCCCAAGCTTTGCAAGTGATCATCAATTCTGGCATACGAAGCACTGGGTGCTTGCTTTAGGCCATACGAGGCCCTTTTTAACAAATATACTTTGTCTTCTGCTCCTTTCTTCACAAAATCAGCAGATTGTTCTACATATATCTCTTCTTTCAAATTACCATTTAGGAAGGTGATTTCACATCAAGTTGATAAACATACCAGCTTTTCTGAGCTGCCATAGCAAGTAGCAGCTGTGTATCGAATCTAGCAACTGGTGCAAAAGTATCGGTGAAGTCAATATCAGCAAGTTGAGAGTATCCCTTCACAACTAACCTTGCTTTGTATTTGTTCAAAGAGCCATCAGAAGGTAAATGCACCCTGTTCACCCATTTTACTCCTATGACATTTTTGTTGCTAGGTCAATCAACTAGCTGCCGAGTTCTATTCTTCTAATCATCTTTAACTCCTCCATTGCAGCCTTCCACACTTCTGAATTAGCTGCTTGCTGAAAAGAAGAGGGTTCAGTAATGGCTACGTTGCATCTGTTGTATGTGTCCTCCAATGATCTGGCGCCCCTGACTAGTTCATCATCAACTTGCTCATTTACAGTACCTTCTTGTTCAACAAAAAAATCTGGCGCTAAATGTGCAGCAGAAACTTGAAGTAAGCTAGAATCAAACCACTTGAGACTTATTCCAGTCCCATGAAAAATTCTCATTAAACTTTACATTCCTGCACACTTCAATTTTCTTTGTTGCCAAATTCAGGATTCTGTATCCTTTTGATTGACTGCTGTACCCCATAAAGACACCAAGCTCATCCCTTTCATCAAGTTTATCCCTCTTCACATCTGGAACTAAAGAGTAGCACTTACAGCCAAATGCTCTGAGGTGATTAACAGATGGGTTCATTCCAAACAAAGCTTCAAAGGGTGTTTTACTGTCAAGAGCTTTTGTTGTCAGCCTATTCAACAAATAAATTCAAGTATTGACTGCTTCTGCCCAGTATTCTTTTGGTAACCCTTTTTCAAACAGCAAGCACTTGGCCATATTCATGACTGATCTATTTTTCCTCTCACTTACCCCATTTGTTGAGGAGTGTAAGTGACAGTCAATTGGTGGTGTATGCCTGCCTTTCTCAGAAATTCTTCAAACTGATGTGAAGTATATTCTGTCCCATTGTCAGTTCTAAGGATCTAAATAGACTTCCCAGATTCCCCTTCAGGGCCTTGAAATTCACAAACATATCAAATGCTTCTGACTTTTGCTTCAGAAAATAAACCCACACATTCTACTGTAGTAATCAATAAACAGCAGAAAGTATCTGATGCAGGGACAGTAGAGGTTGAACAAACAGAAACTAAGAACTCCATAAAGTTAAAGATGGAACCAAGAAAATTTAGGTTTTCAACCCCAAGTTAACTCTCAAACTAAGATCTCATAACAAAAACTGTTCTTGAAACCTAAGAAGAATAACTATATATACTAACAATAGCTAAAAATCCTAATTCAATTCTAATTTGAACTTCTACTATGCTACAAACTTCTAATAAGCTACTAATTCTAATCCTAATTAAAAGCCACATGCTATCCACATGACTTTCTTCAAATAAAACTCAAACTAAAACAAATAATTAAAAAAAACTTTATGCTCCCGCATCAGTATCATTCTCAACTACATCCCACAGTTCAAAGCCTTTGAGCTAGCTTTCATCTTAACAGCCTAAATGTTGTAATTTTGGCCACTGAAGATTAGGGTTTTTGGTGAAAAAGAAGTGCTGGATTCCATGACAATAGGGTGCTCTCTACTCACATGCTTACACTTGGTTTGGTAGTTCTGGTTAAGTTTCAATTAACTCTCACAGTCCTTCAAAGATCAAGAGAGCTTTGATACCATTTGTTGGTTTTTTCACAAAGAAATGGAGAGAAAATCACGAAGAACACGAAGAACAGAACCTCTGTATTTCTCATTAATTCAAACTTTTTGTACATACCAAAAAGTTGCAGTAGAAAAGTTAAGAGTTGACTTACTTTTCCTTAAATTGTGCTACCTTGTCTTCTGTATTTGTCCAAGGTGCTTACAACACAGTAAACTACAAAAGTTCGCATTACAGCAATTCTAACTAAGACTAAGAAACTAACATTAAATCACTTAAACTATATCCAAAAACTAATTCAGCTAAGTGCTGCAACATCGTGCTATTTGCTTGAACAAGTGTAGCTTTATTGTCATGGCTTAAATGAGAATGAAATCATCAACCAAAAATTTCCATCAAGAACTATGCACTCTCAACAACAATTTTTTCTTGCACCCTATCATTTTGAAATTTCATCTTTTCCATAGTTCAGGAGAAAAAAACAGCAAGGCTAAAGATGATAAACTTTAAAGAGGTCAAACGCAATAAAACAGTGTCCAAACTATAACTAAAAGTAAAAACAAATAATTTTTAAAACATCATGAACCCTAAACATTTCCAAGGAAACAAAACACCATAGCAGCATAACAAAAAAAGGAAGAAAACATAAACCTGATCTCAAAGAAAACACCACCTGAGCGAAACACTGCTAACCTACCACCAACCACAATCAGCGACACCTGCAAATGGCAAGACTAACATTATCTCTCAGCAAGAAAAATAACTGGAAAAGAAAACCCACCCAAACAGCATCCAATACATCACACAAAACTAAAAGATTTAAGAAAAAAGGGGTGTGGCAGATGGCCCTATTATTTTTGACTTTATACTCCAGGTCTAAAAGTGTTTGCTCATGGGACAACTGTGTTTGAGCTTACAATTAATAGGGTGTGGTGTAATAAATATAACAGAGTGGACATTTGTCAGTGGTCAAGAATACCAACTGTTATAAGAAAATACCAATGAAATCTGAATAACATAATCTATTGCTTTCTTAATGAAGTGAAAATTTTGACACAAAAAGAGAACAAAAAATTTCGATAAAAAGTGTTGCCATGTGATATCCATTATATACAACTAAGATTAGTTTGTAACATGACAACAGCTATAAAAACTTTCGATCACAAAAAAAAAAAAAAAAAAAAATACATGTTTCATTTTTTCCTGTTTTCCATTGACTTTATCCACCTTTCATATGTTTCTAAAGAGAAATAATGCAATGATTATACCATTATCCTTTCTATGTTTCTACAGAGAAACGATGCAAAAAATTTTCATGAAAAGAATCTTTGTTGCTGCAAGATCTAAAAATATGATCATTAGGCAAAATCCCACGTTGTACTGAAGAATGCTATCATCTGAAATAAAAGGACTTACTTTGGGATAAAAGTAACCAACAACCCACATTTCCTTGTGACGGCCCTATTTCATGGATGAAAATCAAATTGCCACCAGCACATGTACATAATATTATCTTCAATCAATGTGTTGTAGAAGACTGATGCTGCACTATTGAATAATGAGAAAGAAAAAGGAAGGGTTTTGTTTTCAGAGCTTTAGTTAATAAAAGTGCCTGCTGCTATATGTCTTGCTCCTTATACAAAAAAATTAACACAAAATTCAATTGAATAAAATCATTAGATGTGCCAGTAAATTCAGAAAACTACGTAATTAGCTAAATGAAACATTCTTCCTTTTTGTTAGTAACCTCTGAAAAGTTCAATCACTTGGTTGCATAAGAGCCCTAATATATTATAGCTCCAAATATGAGTTTTTCAAACCCATCCAGGACAGAAAATCTTTACATTTTACAATGCAAAATCACCAAATCGTGACAATTCAGCAAATTACAAAAGAAAGAAACCGCAGATCATCACAAAGGAAACCATGAAATAATAGACCATGTAGAGCCACCAAATGATAGACAATTCATGTTATTATGCTTCAGGTATAAAGCTCTGAAATTTTATCTAAAGAAAAAAAAGAGTGAATTAGCTAGAAGCTACTAACCTTGACTTCCTATCACTACATTCTCCAGTATATTGCACATTATTCCTTCAGTAACCTATAATTGATCACTCAAAATAAAATATAAGGAATACGATAATTGCTTTGATCTTAACTATTGCATACAAAAGACAAGCAAAAAATATCAAATAATAAAATAATGAGAAAAGGAAAAATCAGGACGTCTTGACATTATCACAATCATTAAATGTGTGGGGCATAATGTGGGCCCTAACTTTATCCAATGCATCATGTGGATATCCTTGCATTTATAATGCCAGGACATCCTTATTTTTCCTTCTCTCTAAAAGAATTCATTCAATCCATAAAGATTAAGAAATACAACATCTGTGAACAGTAATGATTTACCTCACAATCCCTGCTCCAAGTAGCTGAATGGTGTGAGTGAACATGCCCTGAAGGTGACTACAAAAAATCCAAGAATAAATGTAAAAACTAAACCAAGAAAGACAAATCAAGACAAACACTCAACATCAACTAAAAATGAAATTATCAACTGAAAGTTTCCATCAAGAATTATCCCCACTGCTGACAGCATAATTAGAAATGCAGCTAAAAGAAACAGCAAATCATAACCTTAATGAAAATTTTGTGTCAAACAAACCCATAAATTTCATAACCTGTTCTTGCCGGCATTATCAAATCCACAAGCCAAGTCCATACAAAAGCAATTATAGGAGAACAATCTGGGAATTAGAGAAACTACTTGAAGAGCCCTTGAAGACCCAAGAGAAGCAAAGTCATGCAATCTAAAAAACTCACCTTTCAGATTGTCATAACCCAATTTTAATTGGGGCTAAATGATAAAACTAGAGATTTATGGACTATTTTTGCAAAAAAATGAAACTTGAGGTGCTGAAGGAGGAATCAGCAAAACGACGTCGTTTTGCTTGTAGGTGGAAACCCTAGCCGCCCAAGACTCGTCCGTCGTCCCATTGCTCTGCCCCTAGCCTTTCTCAAACAGAAAAAAATCACAAAAATTCCTTGGCTTATCCCTAAATCTACTCAAGTTTTGAAGAATTTTCGGAAATTGAAAGTTATCAACAAGAGGCACAAAAGGAGAGTTTGAATTGGATTCAAAGTGGGGAGTTCCAAATACAAAAGGTATGAATCTAGACTTGAAAAGGGGTAGATAAGGGGAAAGCTAAGAAATCCAATTTGAAATAGGATTGGATTGTTATCTTAGGGATTGGGATTGAGTATTAGAAGAACATTAACTATACTTTTCTTATTAATTGTTACAAAGTTAAGGAATTTTTTTTTACCTGTGTTGGTATTAATTTAAACTTTTTTCTCATTAAGTATTGTCACAAAATTAAGGTTCTATTTTTTTATTTTTAAATCTTTAATCTAGATTTAATAAATAAATTTTTATTATCAATTTATATTAAAAAAACAAAATTAATTTTTAATTTATTAACTATTCAATACAATAATACTAAAATTAATATCAATTTTTACAATTTCTATATACATATAACATAATAATAAGGTTCCCTTCCTTTTTCACATACTAAGAATGAATTTATTACACATTTTTTCTATTGATTTATATAAAAATAAAGGTTAATTTTAATTTTATTAACTATCTAATTAAAATATTTTATATGATATTAATGTTAAAATTACAATTTATTTTTGTAATTTTTCATATAATTTAATGTTAACAAGATATAATAAATACGCCTTTAATCTATACCTTAAACACACTTATTAGAAAACCCTAAAATAAATATTAACTTTAACTTTATTTATCATTTAATTAAAAACATTGAAATGTGAAAATAATTTACCTTACCATTTTTCTTTAGAAAATTCAATAAATAAATTTTTTTTCTAGATTATATTGTTAGAAAATATAAAAATAAATTTCATTTTCAACATTAATAATAAATATGTAATTTTAATTAAATAATTAATAAATTTAAAATTCATTTTTAAATTTTTATAATAATTAATAAAAAATATAATTAATATACTTTTAATTGATGTGAAGGTTAGAAAAATCTATAAATAAATCATCAATCTGGCATTAAGTTTAATGCATTTTATATGCCTTTTAATAAAATATTTGGGGAAAGTAAGCAAGATAAAAGGAGAATTTAATCCTAACATGCCAAGAAAGTATTAGACTACTAGTATGCACAAAATTTTGATCTTAATGTGTAGGGTGATGCAATTGCGGGAGATATCCAAGGAAGTTGGTGTTTGGGCAGCTTCGTAGTCCAACACTGTTGAAATCCTTAGCTGCTTTTACACTTGAAAATCCTGAGGATGTTTCCTTGGGGAAAATACTCCGACGCTCAAGTCAGCAATACTCGATATTCTAGAGAGAGATGCTCTCAAGGAGTAATTGCAGAGAGAGAAGCGTAGAGATTAATTACCTTCCTTGGAGGTAGTTGGGGGGTATTTATAGCCCCAAGTGTTGACATGCATCTATACATGTAAGCATCTCATCAGTCCACGGGGCGCTATTCACGTGGGTATGTTTATACTAGTGCTCCCTCACTTTGGGCTAGTTGGTGCCAGCTTAGGCCCATTATGTAGGGCCTAAATTGGATGTTGGGCCTATTCCAACATTACTCCCCCCTCGGTGTTCGATTGACGAACTGCGTTGGATGTGTGTATGGCCCAACGTTTGAGCTAGTGATTAGGACGGACAGCCTTAGTAGCTCGCGCCCGACCTTGTTGATGGCCGATTTGAAGGATGGCACCAAGTAAGACGAGCTCGAGAGCCTGAAAGTATACATGCGGGCTAGTATCCGCAACCTAACTAGCCTGGGTTCGGTATATCGGCGGGTTGACGTGGCTTACAAAAGGTGAGCTCACCCAGCGAACGACCATGTGCTCAAATTTAAAGTGTTACTCGCTATTCCAACGAGCTTGGCCACGTTGACATAAGCGCGAGTGAATGTGTAGCGACTTGAAATGGTGTCGAGGGCCTAGAAGCGACTAGGTGATGATCACTTGAACAGAGGGACGAGCTGAGATGAAGCGACCTTAAAATCTGCGATCCTTACAGAGTTGTCGCTCATGTAACGAGTTGAGATGGAGCGACCTCAAAATCTGTGATTTCTACCGAGCCACCGCTCTTATGACGGCCTGATAAAGGTGGTCACAATGACGAGTGTATGTGGATGGGACAGGGAACATATCAGCCTGTTACGATCTGAATCTTGGGATTTTTCGAATCAATCAAACCTCTGAGA